TCGTTTCAAGGGGTCAATTCCGAGCACCAATTGATCTATCGACAAAGTTTTGAGTGACCGCCCGTGACCACTCTATATGACTCCGTATCTTCCCACACCTGGAAACTACCTATTGCATGACATTTACCAGAAAAGTGTGGCTCATTTTCAGCAGCATACGACTGCCGAGCGCTTAAGTGCTTCTTCTGGTGCATCGTGAAAGTGGTTTCATTACTCCCAAGAGTACCTACGCCCGGAGACATTCCCAATTGTTTTCGATCGGCAATTGATCCATGGCTCATGATTCTCAAGCCACAGTATAACAAAATTAGGCCATATCGTTTGTCCATCTCGAGGACCAAATACTTTCTCGAGTTGAAGTCTTCGAGCTTCAGTTGCAGACCAACCATAATTTTCTTCGCGGCGACCACTGCACCAGCGGCCTCCTTCACTAAGACAAAGACATTGCTTCTATCTTGTACATCGAAAGCACTTATCATAAACTTTGCTTCCGCACGTAGTTACACGACGCGCCAGAGGCAATCAAGAATCTAAATGGACGGCCATAGTCCTTCACCTTCGTTGTGATCACGAAGAGGCGAGGGACAACGAGTCTTAAAGGACTGAACCCTCATGGGTGATTCTACCACCACACTCAAGAGAGTTTATAACTGCCCCAGTAGATCTCCCTGCATCTACTGGGCCCGGCGTTTCCCGAACGCCTCGTGAGATTAATACCACATGGATCTAAACCGCTACGACGAGAACCATATTGATGGTTTGTCTCTCACGTGGACAATTACGGCGTTGACATCTATAACAGCGAATCTGCTGCTCGCGGACAGTCACACCGCTAAGATCTATTAATTCTGGATTCCCAGTGGCAGCTGTCATTGCTTTCATGAGGTTGACCAATTGACCATATGCTTGACACCTCACGCAATGCAATCATAATTGCATCTTCCAGTGTTGTCGGGCTCAGACGGGATAATTTAGTCATAGTAGTATTACAAGTGAGTCCCCCCACAACCGCAGTGTCCATCCCTGCCTCTGGCAGTGGTTTACTCGCCGTACTGGCACGGAGCCCACGGAGCTTTTGTACATAGTCGTACAAGGTGCCGTTATCTTGACAGCATGACAAAGGCTTCGACCGAGGCTGAAATGCCACATTAGGTGGAAGGAATATCGATTCCATGGCCCTCTAACTCTTGTCATGTGGCCAATTATCAGGGCGATTTCATCGCCAAACCTTTGCACGGCCATCCAAATGCAACATGGCAAAGGCCACTTGACTACGGCGATCGCGAATTTGAGCCATCATGATAGCAATTTTCATTTCACAGTGTCATAACACAGGATTTTTATATTTGCTCCCGTGAATGCTTTTCACCTTGATTTTCTCGGGACGTCCGTGTTGTTACCACCACTTGTTGAGGGGGTGGCAGAACTTGCGTCGGTATGTTCTGAAATGAAATCCCTAGTTCATACGCAGCAAAACGAGCTAAGCGTTAGTTTATGACCTTTTGATCTAGTTAGAGCATATCAGAGACCGCGTGAACTCCGATTCAAGCTCGCAACTTTACCACACATTACCATTGTGAGTGTGTTTGGCACGCAAGTTTGTCCCTGTTGATCTGAGTACGACCACCAATTGTGGTGTCTACATTTTCCATCAATGTATCTATCGAAATAGTTAGAATTGGGATGACTGATGGTGCTACCAAGTGTATGGAAGCTGCCCGCTCGTGTGCACAAACCTTCTGAAGAAGACTTGGGTCAACTGACACGCCCCACCGCATGTTGCCCAACTCCAGAGGGCCGTTGACTTTCGCAAAGAGGAGGGGAAATGAAGTGACATTTATTGCCATAGCCGATAGGCTTTAATCCTCGCTAATCTGATAAGTGCCTCCAATTCTATGCAACAGAATTGAAGGGAATATACCACTGAACAAGATGTATGGTTAGTGCTAAACACACACAAATATCTGGCCCACACAACATGCGTGATGGTCCTGGAAGCGTCGGATAATCTACAACGGTCTTGATCTTTTGAAGATCTGACCGACACAAGCCAACTTTTATGATATATCCGTCTTGACCCGCGCAGGACATACAAATGCTGATGTGTATAACCAAGTTTTGGCTACCGACAGAGCTTTGAAATATGTACTCAATAATCCGTTTACATATAAAAGGAAGTGTGTCTTTGACACGAACAAGTTTCCAATTTTTGAGCTGCTTCACTGAAAAACGTTGTGTAGCCGAGATTCGAACTGTGCAGCTGCGACATCAGACGACTGAATGTTGCCGGTGCTTTTTGAAATTATAGTGACACTAATAAATCATTGCATGAGCATCCAGCTCATAGCTTTCCTTATAACGAGAGAAGTCATTGATTTTTAATAGCAGTTGATCGTAGCCATCAACTTGATTGAGGGCATTCAACGAGTTACAAAAGACCATACTTTTTTTCAACGCAATCATTTTGAGAGTCAGGCTTTGTGCAGGAACCGTGGTTGCATTTAAGTAACGGGGTTACACATAACCTGGTAACAGGGGTGTGTGTCACACCAGATGGGCATGGTATGACCACACCCAAAAAAAATAAGGTACGGGGCTGGATAGCCAGTGGTTATACATGTATTTAGATTTTACTATACATATTTAGGAAAATCTATGCATTTAAAAT